AGTGTGCCTGTGCGAGGCTTGCCAAGTGGGATGGTGTTTGCCTGGAATTACACACACTTCTAGGCATGGAAAAAGATCGGTGACGGACCTCCGTGGGAGAAGTAACCGCCACCCCCAGTTCCCCCCCTTTCCCGGAGGGGGGGGTCGGGGCGGAGAGCGGGGGCGAGGTCGAGGTGGAGGACGAAGACGATGCCGGCGGGCGCACCCGGCAGAGTACCCGGATGTTTCCCCGCAGCTCTTGCAAGGCGTTGAGGAGCTCCCGTCGACGGGCTGTTTCGTTCCTCAGGCTCCGGCTCAGTTCCTGGGCCCGGTCCTGTTCTCTTTCTAGAAGCTGGAGCACTTTCCCCCCCACGACCCGCACCTCCGCCTGGCAACCCCTGAGCATGTCCAGGGCCTCGCGCCGCATGTCCTGGACGACGAAGGCCCGCAACTGACCCAACTGGCGGAGGCTGAGTTCTCCCAGCCGGTGGCAGCGGGCTGTCATCTGCGTGCCCCAGGTCTGGGCGGCTTCCCACTTGGCTTGGATGCTAGCAAGACTCTTATCCACAGGGGTACGGTTGTTTGGACGTAAGGGTCCCGATGTCACCACATTCTCCCCACGGCCTTTTCCTACCCCCTCCACGTCCTCCCCAGGACTGCTCCCGCCGGGGCTTGTATCGGGCACGGGCCCTTGGGACGGCTCCGGGCAGGCACAGGCTGGGTCTCTAGGCTCAGCCTCCGCAAGGCCGCCGCCTTTGACTGCCAGGCCATGGTCTTCCTCGCCCGTAGTGGGTGCCGGCGTCGCCGCGTCTGTGCCCGGCGTGGTCTCCTCCACGTCCATCGCTGCCACGGGCCCGGGGCCATCGTCCTTCGGCGCAGGACGCGGTGCAGGGGAGTCTGGCCCCACCACGGTCTCCTCCTTCCTTCCTGCTACGCAGTCGTCGGGCCGAAATTCGCTGTCCGCTGCAGACAAGGCGATAGTCTCGATCCTTTCTTCCCTCCGCCGGGTACCCGGAGTCTCGGGCCCCGTGCCTGCCGGGGGCGACGACGAGGGAAGGGAAGGAAGCATGGGAGGTTGACCACCTCCGTCATGCATCCTACCTGTTCCTCCCGCCTCTTTACTCTCCGATTGCTCCGAGAGCTCTAACGGGTCTGGGGTGGTCTCGCCAGGCGGGGCCCCTGCCCGAGTCATGTCCTCCCCCACAGGGGCAGGCGCCGCGGTGGGGGAAGGAAGGCACGAGACCACGGGCTTCTGGCTCCGATCTGGACGGTCAGTGCTCGACCTTGCCGGGGCGGGCTCAGAGCATTGGCTCGTCTCCCGAGACCCCTGGCCTCCAGGCACCAGCCCTCTGCCTGTCTCCGGCATCAAGCCGGACGCGGCACCCGTCGCGCCTAATTTCGAGGTCGTTGCCTCCGACTCAGCCCCAGGCTCCCATTTACTTTCCAATCCCTTGGCTTCCGGGTCACTTTCTACGCAGGGACCAGCCTCCACCGGGACCGCCGCTGGGAGCACCATCGAGGAAACGGGGTCCTTTCCCTGCTCGGACGTGCCTGCCGTGTCGTGGAGTGGGAGGGATGTACCCTCCGTTGGCGGTGAGACGTCACCAGGGGGCCTATCTGGTGAGCTGAGAGGTGCATCGGCAGAGAGAGGAGGGCCTTCGGCCTCGATATGCATGGAGGAGGCTTCTGCTGCCAAGGGGAGAGGTGTCCTTGCAGGGACACCCGGCTTTGTTTCCACCTCATCCACGCCTCCAGTCTCCCTTTTCATTTTTGTGGCGGAGCGCAATTCCATGAGAATGACTTTCTATCGCGAAGTAATCGAAGGTATGGAATGTGTGCACGCTGCGGACGAGTAGAAGGCTCGAGACGAGAGGGGTATGCACAACGCACACAACAGCCTACGCCACACGTGCCTTCCTCGGCACTGACGTCGTACTCTTTTCCCGCTTCCCTCCGTCCAAGAGGGAAAACTCTCTGTATGTGTTGAAGAGGAGACAATTATGTAACACAAATAAAAGCACACAGCGAAGAGTCCTGGTGATCTGATACCTGCGGGGTACCCTTGGCGGACTGGAAGCAACACCCAAAAAACACTACGATTCACCACGCCAAGGACACCACAAGCAAAATACCCACTCAAACATGTCATCACTTGCTGTGCGAGGTGCAAGAGGCAAGAAACGCTTTCCTCCGGTAGTATCAGTGGCCATGCGGCAGGCCGACACTCTCCCTCTTAAGGTCCTTGATATATCAGAGACTTCGCTTCGCGAGCCGGAACATGTCCTTGCGCCATCGCGTACATATAGATAAAGCGCAAGCACGCCATGCTGATGCACACACGCGTACCATCCACGACTTTCTCAAAAGCTACCTGGCGCTGCAACGATGCGTCTTTCATCTCGTGGATTTTTAGTGTTTATTGAGGGCAATGTGGGCCGTCGCCCAAGAAAGTTGGCGAGGTCCAGCATGTCAATTATGGCAGGTACTTCCCACCTTCACAAACGCATTTTTTTCATTACATGCAGCTCTGGCATGGAAAATATAGGGCTTTTAGTCTGCATGTAGGCTAAATCGGGATGATGCATCGTTCCTGGCATCGAATTTGTGGTCTTTGGAATATGGCTCGACATGTCCATGCATGCATCCTCAAAGTATGACACGACACGACACCCCAACATAGACTTTAGCTGTACATACAGGCGTGATCAGTCACAATTTACATAAAATATATACATTCGTTTTATCGCAGGAGACGCTTGGGTGTACGCAGGGAAGGAGAAGGAAGAAAGCAGGTTTTACAGCATAATTTAAGCTGTCGATGCCCCTCCAACCGCTTTCCTCCCTCGCCCGCCCGGCGCAGGAAACAGGCGACTCTCAATCTTTCCTACCTACATCACCTTCCTCCCTCTCCTCGTCTCCGTCGCCCTTCCGCAAACGGCGCACAGGGTTTGGCAGGTTCGAAATTTCTGTAAGTATGGGGCTGAGTGTCGAGAAGGTCGCCTCGCCTCTTTTTGTGACGAAAGTTTCGGGCAATCACACTACCATTGCCTTTTCACACCTCCTTCTTCCTCGAATCATATCCTTAGAAACACCTGCACGCCTACAGGCACGGAAAATTAAGCAAGGAGGAGCTGTGCAGCTACCTGAAAATCCATCGGCACGACCTGCTGGTGGAGGACGCGGGGGAGGGCAATATCGTGCATGGTAAGGGAAAGGAGGGGCAGAGAGTCGACGACGGGATGGCTCCTGAAGGATGGAGAATGGAATGTACACGAAGGGCAGGACAGCGAGGGTGCGGGGGAAGCTGTGGCATGCTTTCGTTCCTCCCCAAGGCTGCGTCCTTATCTACGTATGTCCATGCTGCAGGGCTGATAAGAAAGGGCCACACGCGCGCCCTACTCCAAGTTGTGCTTCCGAATATTCCCGAGGTAACATGTGGGAAAGGCGGAGGGGCCAAGCAAGGGATGCTCTGGCCTCTGTCGGTGCCGGAAAGGGCTGGGGGGGCTCATCGCTTGCTCGGGCATCGCCTTTTTTCTTTGTTTCCTTTGGATCTTCTGCCTCCCTGCGCTTCATGTTTATGAATTCTTCTTTGAATCTCCTGCCTCTCACTCTTCCCCTTCTTTACTACCTTGCTTTACCTCCTGTCTCCCTCCCTCCCCCTTGTCTTCTCCCCTTGCCACGGCTTCCGCCTTCCGCATGCGGGGCATGCTCACTCTCTTTCCCCTTCCTTCGTCCTTCCAGGACAAGGAGTACCCAAGCTCCGCCGATCGACCCTCTCGGTCCACACCCCACGCCCTCGCCCCTGCCTCACCCCGCCCTCTCTCCCTCCTTCCCGGGTACCCAGGTCGTGCTGGCTCTGGAGCGATCGCGCGCGGGGGACGGACAGAGTGGCGTCACCCTACTGCGTCG